TGAAAAGAAGTCTTTTGGGGGGAAGAGCGCAAGCTTATTTCCTGAACAGCAGCTGGTAATCAAGCCTATCATAAACCCCATTATAATTTAGACTCAAACCTTTGCTATTGGCTGCTGCTGCCTGGTCAAGCGCACATACAAGCTACCGACCTTTCTATATTGACAGTGTGAACTTTTATAATAGAGAGGCTATGCCCAAACATACTTATGCATACCCAATGCCCAAAAATGAAGCAAAATTAGGGATTGCAGAGGACCAAAAAAATCAGTGGAACAAAATTGATTAAATGTAGCAGGCTTAACATGTATTCTTATTCTAGAGATAAAATAGACATCGAATACATGCACACCAGGTACAAACAAATTTCAAGGCATATACTCACATAATAATCTTTCATCATGTTCATCAAGAAACCCATAAACCATCATACATGTACTTGTTCATCTTAAACATTCTTAAAAAAGATCAAAACATTTTTAATGAGTGTATGTCCTTTCATGAGCAATGATGTTCTGCACGTATATTGATAGCCAGTTAACATTTTACACACACAAAGACAATCTTAAACACAGTTCAAGGTTAATATTACTAATTATCCACGGTGTTCAACATTACTGTGCTTCTGATCATCCTACCCCCCCCCCTCTCCCTGTGTCTTGTAAGCCCCAACATAAGATGTTCAGCATATGGGTTTAATACAAATGAAACATTTAGTTCAACCTTAAAGCAAAAAGAGAAGCAACAAGGGGGATGATTAGTATGATCACAGCCTTGGCAGAACTCTACTCATAAGAAGTCTTAATGTAAGGGAAAGACTAATGTGAAAAATCTTACATTACCATTGTTATCTTTGCTCATTCGTACATCTAGTGCTTTATCATATTTATCACCACGATTTTAATGTCACATAATTTGCAACTTTTCTAGACTGACAGGTGCTGTTTGGCATTAACCACAATGAGAGAACAGAATTTAAATTCACCTGTTGCATCAAGAAACCCATAGGTAATGTACTGAAACAAGACTTGGCTACAATAAAAAAAAAAAGTAACAAGCTGCAGTTTCCCAAGTTGCATGCAGCAAAAATGAACACCTATAGCAAGAGCAGTGTACATCTTTTGGAGAAAAAATTAGATTCAATATACAATAAAAATGAGTGGTATTCAGTCTATTCACTATATAAAGTCAGCATACCACATGAGTATTTAAAAACAAAAAGGACTATAACAAGAAAAATTGAAGCAGTGATCACATGAATTTTGAAGTTCTTCATCAGAACATGACATAGACGTAATTGATTCAAGAAAATGAGAACCTGTTTAATATTTCCGGCTTAACAGGTTCTCGTATATATAAATAGCACTGGCAAACTTAAGCCAAACAAGTTTTTAAGAACTAGGTTTTTACTTGCTTCAATGTAATATTATTGTATCCAATCTTGTTCCATTTTCTGTTATAAGTAAAGTTGAACTGAGAAGATACAGAAACTGTGAGCAAATTAAGAAGAGTGAAAGTTTCCAAGCTGTCAACTCATATGAATTTACATAAATCTTGTTTTCTCTTTCTTTTTACATATTGGGTATCCAGTAATTATTTATATAGTGTGTACGAGCTATAATAAATTAGCCTAAATTACTCAGAAGTGTTTCATCTGTTGGGGTAAGATTCCCAGGATAAGAGACCAAAAATAAATCTAACAAATACATACATTTTAATCTCAGAGTGACATTTTCCAACAAATGATTGTAATTTTGCAACATTGAAACATTCAACAGGTGGGGTTGGGAAGAAAAAAAAATTAATAAACCAAAAGATTTGTAACTCATGGCCTTCAGAATAACCAAAAAAATCCTTTTTAAATGCATTTTATGCCCTCCAATTTATGGATTAAAGCGATTACGTCATTACTCACACCGCTAAAAAGCGAGTTGAAGTGTAACCTGGCAAATCTTATTTTGAACAAAGAAAAACTAATTATTCGTTTGACGAGAGTAGTGGAGATTTGTTGAGTATTTGGTTAAGGTTCGGGAAAATCGTATCCTTAAATTCAAGTGGGTTAAAACTTACGCAGATTTAAATTTTTTCGTGGTTTTTGTAGGATCATCTTTTATTTTGAAACACTTAACAATATTGTTGCTAAATTTGCATGTTTGTCAAAATAGATTTCGTAGCTAAGGTCTGTACAGTAGGAGGGTTTAAAGCTAACAAAACTGATTGAAGTAAACAAAGTTTAAAAATGGGCTTAATCCACAAACCTTCACATTAATGTGTACAACAATTCCTCGCCCGAGGAGTCAACATCTTTTTGGCAATGAATGAAACGTATTTTCCCACAATTTTTCTAAACGTTCCTACACACCTGCACGGGGTACATACAATCGATGGCGAACCACATTTAAGAACTAACTCAGATTTGACAAGCGATAAAACCACAGCTTCTAAAACTCGCTATTGGTGTGTGGTAAAGAAAACAAGACAACAATTCCGAAGAATTTCAATGCGTGACACTATACGCTAGAGTCACACAAACCGACAGAAACTAAAAAAAGATACGGTGGATCGAAACGATCAATCGAAACTAGCCACAAGCTAAACGACAACGTGATCAAAACCGAAAAATATATTAATTAAATGTCAATTTCGTTTTACCTAGCACGGAGAAAATATTTTCTGAAAAGCAAAGCTTTTTCTCGCACAGTGGATTAGGATATATTACACTAAAAATACAGAATATTCCTTGTATACTATTAGTTAAAAACCAAGTTCATGTGTAGAGTCACAAACAGACTTACATCATTATTTACAGATTTACATATTACCCTTTAAAATGTCGGTTATTTTCATGATTGGCAAATATCGTAAATGTCTTGAATAATATTCTCAGCAGAAAACAACTTCTATTACAGTTTTCTTCCTTTACAATTTCACGGTGTAACTTTTCCCAGTTGGAAAAGCCCAAGCGCTGGTTTTATTAAACGCTGGGCGTCCATGATATATTTCTCCCTATTTGTGGCTAATTTCCACGATTTCAAGAAAAAAAGTCCTTTTAGGCCAAAGTGCAATATACTAGAAAGAAAATTAAATTGAATGACGCTCATTCGAATATGGGAGTCATAAAATACGAGCAGAGAAGAAAGGATTTTAACTGTCAGTAAGATTCTTTGTTTCAAGAAAATTGTATTCTGTGAATTAAGGGAAGAGCGAAAATATCACGAACCGAAAAAAATAACTGGCACCGTAGAAGAAATGTCCATTGGCTTACCTGAGGATCCCAAAGACATGACCATCAAGGCGTCTTGTTTTGGTTTGTAAAGTTCATTCATTCGAGACCCATTCAACGCTTCGCTGGCCATAAATATTCAATGATCACACGTATCAACAGGTGGTTGTTGACAATACTCTTGACCACGTGGACATGGCGTTGAGTGACAGCCATTGTCTTAAAATGGTTTTCTTCTCAGCTTCCGCTTCAGTTTTGTGCCACACCAGCTGGCTCTCTTAACAATATATATATATTTTTCCTTTTCGCATCCATTTTACTGAAGCGAAACTTCCGTTTTGTGGTATTAACCTGGAGTCGTGTGGTCGTTTGTTTCACGGCGCGTGTATATAACGCGTAACGAAAGTACTGCCAACTCCACAAGTCCTTGATGTTACTAAGAAACTAAAAATAGAGCACAAAAAGTTAAAACAAATCAAAATTGCAAATGATAAACATGCGTTCGATCGAAGAGACGAAACTCCCCGACAGAACAATAATCGAGTACTAAGAAAGAGTAATCGACTTGGACGTAAAACAGCTGATTGAGAGAAAAGGATAAAGAACAACATCTTGTTCATCTTGACAACCTGCTCTCTAGCATGTACTGATATAGAAACATTCTTCTTAAATTTAAAGAGATAAATTTCTTTCCACATTTGAGCACATTTTGCTTGGTTTGTATTTTCCGCCATTTTGTGAAAAGCGTTTAAGGTATTGTGGGATCGAACATATTACGGAGCTCTTGATTGGTCTAATTTCTGTATCTACGAATAAACCAATTAGAACTCGCTTTATATTTTCATCACTTTCCCGCTTGTTTCCATGCAACGCAGACCGAAGCGTAAATCAAAGATGGCGGATTCATCATTAGGCATGTTTCTTCCGAGAATTCAGCAGTTGTAAAGGGTAAAAAACCCAAAAAACAAAATCAAATTTTTCTTAAGAGATTAGATATGGAGGGGACTGTAGCAGGAGTAAGAATTGTTCCACCCGTAGTGGAATTTTTCGATGCTGAAACAGATGTTGTGCATCAAATGACACTAACTGTACAGAACCTTAGCAAGTCTTCCAAAGTCATCCGATTTCATGGTCCTGCTTCGAAAGTAAGTACCCTTTGTTACCTTAGTTTTAAAGGAGTTATGGATAGGTCCTATATGGTAGAATAACTTGTGTATAAATAAGCTGATGTGATGCAGAATTCTGCTTTATCAGTTAATAAAGTAGACGTAAACAGCATTTTTGCAGATTGTATTTTTGGGTCACGTTGATCTATGAGGCCAGCTGGGTTGTGNTTTCTTCCGAGAATTCAGCAGTTGTAAAGGGTAAAAAACCCAAAAAACAAAATCAAATTTTTCTTAAGAGATTAGATATGGAGGGGACTGTAGCAGGAGTAAGAATTGTTCCACCCGTAGTGGAATTTTTCGATGCTGAAACAGATGTTGTGCATCAAATGACACTAACTGTACAGAACCTTAGCAAGTCTTCCAAAGTCATCCGATTTCATGGTCCTGCTTCGAAAGTAAGTACCCTTTGTTACCTTAGTTTTAAAGGAGTTATGGATAGGTCCTATATGGTAGAATAACTTGTGTATAAATAAGCTGATGTGATGCAGAATTCTGCTTTATCAGTTAATAAAGTAGACGTAAACAGCATTTTTGCAGATTGTATTTTTGGGTCACGTTGATCTATGAGGCCAGCTGGGTTGTGTAGAAATTTAGCTGTAGGGCCTTTCATTACCACCTGATTTACTTCTAGTCGACAGATACTTAAGAAAACAATATATTCGTTTTTTTATTGCATAGTAATTGAGGTTTAATAATAAAATCGCAAGAACAGAATTTGCAGAATGTTTATAGGCTTAATTAAGTCTTACGCTGAGTGTTATTTTATACGTGATTGTAAGTAACTTAAATGCACGTCGATACTTGTGCTAAGCTGACCCTCAATGTTTTCTTAGCTGTATCCTCACAGACGATTTTTTCCACTAAACAGAGGTTTGTCTTTCATAAATTTATATTGGAAGAAAATTAAAATAAACGTTCAAGGGTTGTATGTACTTGAGGTTGTGCCTGCTTGGTGTTATTTTCCACCACCCACTGTACATGTTTTTGAGAAATTGTAAATGCCGAGACTAGGAATGTGTTCGAATAACTTGAACTACTTGCAAAATAAAACATCATGTGTTAACCACATTCGTGCGTCAAATGTGGTAAAGACGTGACGTCTTATTTTCAGTGCAAGCAGTTCATTGTACATTTTAAGTTTGATATTAAAGTTAAGGTTTTGCTGTAATTGTTTGAATTTGTCAGAATACATTTTAAATAATATGTTAAATATTACTATTATTTTGTAGCCTGATAAATTTTAATTTTTCTGCCTTTTTTTCTAGTGTTTCCGTTTAAAAGTGAAAAATCCTGACCATGCTATAGCCCCAGGGTTAGAAGTGTCTGCATTAGTTGAATATTACACCACAAGGGCTGAAGATGCTCAAGATAGAGTTATACTTGTTGCCGACAATGATGTTGTGGAGATTCCTCTAATGGCGTAAGTAACTTGTGCTTTCTCTCGTTATCTCTTTGTATCTGACACACACAAGAGTCCAGGGTTAATTTATGCTGCACAATTTACTGAGCTGATATTTCTTTCCTCACAATAAGCATATGTAATCAAATGGTGACGAGTGAAATTAGGGAATAATTTCACGAGCGTTTTGTCCAAATCCTTATAATTTCCCGAGCCTTTAGGCGAGGGAAATTATTAGGATTTGGACAAAACACAAGTGAAATTATTCCCGAATTTCACGAGTATACCATTTGATTACCTATTAACATCATAGGTGACGAATTACGTTAGCAATCTTGGATTTTTAACATGTTTATCCTGGATTGTATCAATCGAGAACTCCTGCACTCTCTCGAACGTTTAGAGCTTAAATTTGGCTTAAGTTCAGAGTTTTTCGACAAAATACCTGTTAGAATTCTTCTTGATGTGCTCTTTCGTGTGTTCAGGTTTTCTAAAGCGTCTTTTTGTGCCCTGACATCTTCATTCACTTCATTGCCATCTTGACACTGAGACGTACAGAAGGTTGCCATGGCAATTTTGTAATTTCACATGTGAAATTACAGTGAAATTACAAATTAACGCTGAAATTTCGCGCCAAAATTAAGGAGTAATTCGTCACCTATGACATTATAGTAATAATTTTCTGAGATGAATGGTGGCCCAATATTAGCTTGGTTTTCAGAACAGGTGTCTTTGGTTCCACTGTGTTTTCTGTGAAAATATACCAAAAAAATGGTAATGATAACAAACTATACATGTATGTACATGTATGTTGCAGTTAATTTGTTATTTTAGTTAATTTTTGTTTTTCCTTTGTCTCAAATTCATTAGCATACATTATCATACCCAAAAACAATGGAAAAATAGAAATTAACTGAAGTAAAAAAAATTAACTGCAACATATATATGTTAAAGGTCAAAATTAAATTTGGGTTAAAAAGTTTTTAAACTAGGTTGATTCTCAATTTCCTTTGTCTCCTAGCCCTAATTATTTACTATCCAGGGGATAAGTTTTAACCATTGTGTTCTGCGCTGGACAGAAATTGATCCAGTGGACATGTAGTTTATTTTTTATCTCAGGTAATTGTTATTTTTCCTATGTTTCAACTTCATTAGTATACATGTATAGTACCATACCCCAAAACAAAAGAAAAACAAAAATGAGCTGAGATAAAAAAAATAACTACAACAGGTACATGTACAAGTGTAGTGTTATCCATGGTCCAGGAAATTTCAATAGCAAGTTTAATACCTTTGTTTCCTCTAATATCTGAAAGAATATAAAACTTCTTTAAGCGAGCTAGAGCTGTCACAAAGATTTCAAGTTCCTTAATGTTTGCAATTAATAGATGGGGAATTGATTAGCGTGGAAGTTCCTTTGTTTCCTATGAAAGTAGGCGGGGGTTAAGTTTAAAGTAGCTGAAGGAAATACCGAGCCCCTGGCCCTAAATGACAGCCCTGTTGTTCAGCATCACTGCACTTTTCAAAAACAGGCAAACTCTGAAGTTCAAAAGCTGCCTTCACAATAAGTAGGTTTTTCACTGCTGTCAATCATAATTATGATCACAACTTAACGAACCTTGAAACACAGAAACACACAAAACAGATCAAAATTCACTAATCACAAATCAGAAACCATGACCTTTTGAACCCATTGAAGTGAACTTCTGTTTCCCAAGACTGGTGCTGAGATGATTGACAGCAGTGAAAAGTGCAAACGTCAGTTGACTTTTGAACTTCAGAACTTGCATGTTGATGAAAGTGCAGGAAAGTGTGAAAAACAAAAAAAATAATGTGCGATATTTTCTTTTCCTCTTTGTCGTTAGATACACCCCATCACCTCAGTTAGAACTGAGTGGTCCTGCAGATTTTGGTGTGACAGTAGCAGATGGGAAAGTATTAAGGCAGGAAATTTTTGTCTTAAATGAAGGATCATTGCCCGGAGAGTTTAAAATAAGATATACTGGAAATGAACCCATCACAATTATGCCATCTGGGGGTATTGTCAGACCTGGTGCAAAGCAAGGTGTTAAGGTAAACAAAAATTA